GAGGGCCTCAACACATGTGCAGCCCAGCTGACTTCATCAGAACTACTGAAGCTGAAGGAATTGCTAGGCAAGATCAGGCTGACAAAGCCTGAGGAAACTCACGAGGCTGCAAGTGAGGAGACCAGTCATGCCCTTGTCGAAAGGGCAGAACCCAGCAGCAGCAGCAGCAGCAGGCTTCCAGCTTCTGAGGCCCTTCCCCTGCAGGATGGCACTGAAAATGCCACCCCTGTAAAAAGGAAATTGAAAGAAGCAATTTCCATGGACTCGGATGGTTTTCCCATGCTCTCCAAGCCAAAATGGGTTTTGCTGCCAAGACTGCCAAGAAGAAGAACTGCAAGAAGAAAGCTCTTGGCAAAAGGGCTAAGAAGAAGCCTGCAGCAGCTTCCCCAGCAGCAGCTTCCCCAGCAGCAGCCAACTCCCTGGACAAAAGGGAGCCATGGCACCAGCTAAAATTGGTGCATGCCAGAGCCCCGAATGAGAGGGCATACATAGTTGGCAAGGCTGCTGCTGGGGAGAAGCCAAGGCTGATTGTGGAGATCACCCAAAAAAGGTCTGAGCAATACAAGGAGCACATCCAGACCATTTTGAAGAAGCTCCAGGAGGAGCACCTTACCAAAGGTGAGGCTCTGGAGCTCAGGGAGGAGCTGTGCTAGCTCCTCCCTGCTTGGGAGGGCACCCTTGGCCAAAGGGTACCTTCTCAAGGCCTTGTCCAAAGGCAATGGGTGATTGGGCCTTGTCAAAAGGCCAGCATGAAGCCAATGCAGTTTTGAAGGGCCTTGTCAAAAGGCATGTAGGCAAAGAGTCAAAAGGCCAGTAGGCAAAGTGCAGACCTGAGAGGGGCCTTGTCGAAAGGCCAGTAGGCAGAATCAGCCCTGGTGCCTCTTCATCTAGAAATGTCTAATGTCATTAGATACATGCATCTCCCCAAAAATGAGGCATCAGGGTTGTTCAATGGTGTTTCACCTTAAGTTTCACCTCGCCCAAACCCTCCAAGCAAAATGAAGGGTGAGCAGGGTTTCGAGGGATGGGTGTCTAATTAGATCCTAAACCCTAAACTCTTAATCCTAAACAGGGGACCCTAAGCCATCAACCCTGCAACCCTAAACCCTAAACCCTAAACTTCTGGGAGTAGGGGTAGGATAGTCCAACCCCTTATAGAAGGCCCCAAGTATACAGGGTTTACTACAGGGTTTACTAAACTGAGGTTCAGAAGGATATTCTAACCCCTATCTATGTATATATATATATGTAAGGCCCCCATAGTAAGGGATATTAGTACTAACTTGTTTGCTTGTGTTTGCTGCTGCTGCTGCTGCTACCCTGCTACTACCTATTGTATATGAACTCTGCTTTACAAAGCCATGCATGTGCAGGCACCTTGGCTCAAGGTAAAAAACTTAAAGCAAACTCTAAATAATACAGCATATATACACTTCACTACTTGACACATATAGGAAAGCATATGCCATAAGGTTTTCTTTACTACCTCCTAGCTTTCAAAAGCATATTGCATAGGTACTACTTCACAGTTCTCACTACTATACACAAATATTATAAGTCACTACTTCACAGCTGTAATAATACAAGTAGGCAGCCTGTAGTGTGCTGCGTGGGACCACTGGCCTTGACAAAAGGCTAGTGGTCATGAGTGGCTGGCAGGACTGGGGCTGGCAAGACTCGGGAAGGCAAGACTGGAGCTGGAATTCCCTTGACCAAAGGGATAGGAGCTGGAATTCCCTTGACCAAAGGGATAGGGACTGGGATTCCCTTGACCAAAGGGACTGGCATGGCAGGGACAGCTGGCATGGCTGGGAAAGCTGGCAGCAGAGCCCAGCCTGGGGGTGGGACTCTTGGAACTCCCTTGACCAAAGCGAGTGGAGCTGGACAAGGGAGGATGAAGAAAGGCAAAGGCAGGAGGAGGAAAGGCAAAGGCAGCAGTACCAAGAGGAAGAGTACTGGGAGCCTGAAAAGGAGGGGGAAAAAGTGGAGGAGGAAAAGAAGGTGTCCCTTGACAAAAGGGGCACCAACAACAAAGGGAAAAAAGCTGGTTCTGGAACAACCAGCAAAAAAAGGAAGCTGCTGGGCTGCAAAGGGAACTGCAGGGCATGTCACAAGCTGACCTCGAGTCTTGGCAGTGGCAGTTCCAGGCCCAGGTGCAGGAGGAGATCAAGGAGCAGCCCCAGTCAGCTGACTATGATTCCTGCTCCAGATTTTGGCAGCAGCTCCAGCAAGAGCTCCTCCCTTGACAAAAGGGAGGTAAAGAAAGTGAAGCCCCAACCCCTCACTGAGGAGCAGCTGGAGGCCCTGAAAAAGCCAAAGGTCCAGCCAAATGCTGCCAGCAAGGCTCGAGTGGGCGAAATCAAGCAAGAGTTCCTTGAAAAAATGGCCTGAGCCTCAAGAGCCAGGCAAGGAGGAGGAGGAGGAGCAAGACCTGCAGGAGGAGGAGAAGCAGGAGGAGGAGAAGCAGGAGGAGGTGCAAGAGGAGGAGGTCAAGCAGGAATTGGTCAAGGAGGTGAAGAAACCCAAGGCCAAGAAGATGCCTTGTCAAAAGGCATCTGGCTCCTCCAAGCCCATGGAGGTGGACCAAGAAGGTCCAGTGGCAGGCTCCTCAAGTGATGGACCTGCCACTGTGGCCAACACCAGGCTGGCAGAGCTTAAGGCCAGCTTGGACCAGAAGTTCAAGCTTGACAAAAGCTTGGAAAAGGATGCTGGGCTGGAGGTGGGAAGCTACACTGCTTCAGTGGCAGGAACAGCCTTGACAAAAGGCTGTTCCTACAACTACTGGGCTGTGAAGACTGATCAGAGCCTTGACAAAAGGCTCTGTATAGATTGGCATCAGACCCTGGCCATAAATTCCAGGGTGCCAGCCCAGAACATCAGGGCCCTGCAAGCTCTTCAAGAGCATGAATTCTCCCTTCTTTTATGCTCATTTTGTGGGTATAAAAGGGAGAAAGAAGTGAGGCACTTTGCTGAGGAATTGGAAAGGGTGGGGGAGCTGAGGTTTGAACGAAAGCTGTTCACAAGGGATCCCCTTGGCAAAAGGGGAAAATGCTATGCTGCCATGTCGCAGAAATGTGGGATCATCATTGATGATCGATCTGATGTTTGCAAAGAGGCCTTGACAAAAGGCCTCCTTGCTTAGCCCATCAGGACCCCCACAGAAGACCACGAATGGGTCAAAATGTGGGGGTGCAAAGCCTACAACACCTTCTGGGAGGCAGCCCATGACATTATCTGGAACCATGTCTAGCCTTGACAAAAGGCTAGACAGACATGGCAGATAGTGTTCGAGCCTTGACAAAAGGCTCCCTTGTGGCAGCTGTAACCTTGACAAAAGGTTACTAGTAGGTTCAGTTTCACCCTAGCACAGTGAGCCTTGCAACAAAATCACAGGGGCCCTGTAGCATAGGCATATATATATATAACAACCCACAAAAAATGTGATTTTGTTTCAAGGCTCAGGCACCCTGCAGGTTCACACCTTGCAAAAAGATGGGGGGGGGGGAAGGGAGGGCAGGGCTTTGGATTTCACACCCCCAACTCTTAAATGACATGGTAGACAAGGGGTATAAGGGATATACTTATAGTGTTGGGCTGTATTTATTAGGGGGTGGAGGGCAGCAGTTTTGTGTTGTTAGTGTCAGGGTCCAGGGTATAAGTGCCCAACCCCAAACGCCTGAATCTTAATCCTTCAACCCTTAACCCTCAACCCAAACTCCTAATGCTAGCAGACACCCCAATCCTCAACATGTTTATGATGTTTAGGCCCAAATCTAGCCTTGTCAAAAGGGTTTCTTTCATGTAGGGAGAAGGGTCTAGGGTTAAAGGTTTGGGTTTTAAGGTTTAGGGGTTTAGGGGTTTAGGGTTTTGGGTTTTGGGTTTAGGATGGGGTTTATAATTCACAAATCATTGTAGTTGTTTGCAATAAGAATAAATATAGAATTGTAGATCAAAATAATAAACATGATTTGTTTTTATTTTTTTTCCAAAATATTTTGTTGAAGCTTCAAAACATTACGTCCATGCATGAATCTTCATTTGTTTCACAAAGCATTTTTCTGCAAAATATTTTTTGAAAAAACAAAATGAAGTCCAAGCATGAATCTTGAAAAAGAAGTGCTCCAAAAAAATCAAAAAATTAAAAAAAAATCTTGGATTTTTTTGTTTTCAAAATATTTGGCAAGAAAAAAATGTTTTGTAAAAACAACATGAAGATTCATGTGTGGACGTAATGTTTTGAAGTTTCCAAAAAATTTGAAAAAAACATGTTTAGCATTTTGATCTACAATTCTATATTTATTCTTATTGCAAACAACTACAATTATTTGTAAAGTATAAACCCTAAATCCTAAACCCAAAACCCTAAACCCCTAAACACTAAACCCTAAAACCAAAAAACAATGATGCAAATATTTGATTGACCAAACATTTGATTGTCCAAACCCTTTTGACAAGGGTTGACAAAACCCAAACCACAAAACCTAGTCATCAACAAATAATGAGCATTTAGTTGTCCAAACCCTTTTGGCAAGGGTTGACAAAACCCAAACAAAAAACCTACTCATCAACAAATAATAAGCATTTAGTTGTCCAAACCCTTTTGGCAAGGGTTGACAAAACCCAAACAAAAAACCTAGTCAATAATAATAATAATAAACATTGAAGCCCTGACAAGTTTCAAATTAAAGTTGAGGTTGAAGTCTTTCAGGTTTAGGGTGTTTGGCATCTTTTCGATCAATATTTAGACAAAGGTTGAGGATTTAAGGGTTCAAACTTTAGGGTTAGCTTTGAGGGCTTTAGTGGCAGCAATCTGTTGTGTAAATATGTCATATAGTTGTTCCAGATTAAGCTTTAGGGTTGAGGTTTTAGGGTTTAGGGCTGAAGGTTTCAGGTTTAGGGTTTTTGTGACAGCTTTCATTCGCAGCAATCTGTGGGATCAAGATTTGAAATAGTTTTTGTGTTTCACCTTGTGGCCTTGTGTGTAGCCATGGGAAAGTCAGGAGCCAAAAGCACTGCCTTGACAAAAGGCAAGCCTGCAGCCAACAAAGGCATCCTGAAGGTAAGTCTGAAAGCCAAAAACTTGGCGAAATTGGGCAAGCTGAAGCTGAAGGATAAGATTGCAAAGGCTGTGGAGCAGAGTGATGGGGATGTGGAAGCTGTTGCTAAGGTTTTGCAGGAACAGTTGACACCCCAAGAGAAGCAGAGTGCTTGGTCAAAGCACCAAACCTGGCTCAAAAACCAGGGCAGCAGCAGTGATGAGAAGCAGGAGTATGAGGCCTTTGACAAAAAGGCCAAAGGCTTGGCAGCAGTGATGCACCTCATCAAAGCTGACAAGACAACCTTTCTCAGTGCCACTGAAGAGGTTGCCAATGGCACTTCCCTGAACCACCAAGAGAAATGGGTTTCGTGGACCAGAATGTTGACAGAATTCACAGAAGAAGAACTGTATGCCCACATAGCCCGTGGGAGGGTACAGTGGCGAAACGATCCATGGACAGCAGGACTGTTTCAGTACATGGACACAGGTGATTTGACAAAAATCACCAAAGTGAAGAAGGCCCAGGCCTACAAGAGGGGGCAGGAGTACAACCCAGAGGAGCAGGACCACCAAGACTATGAGGGGGTCTCAAACATGCACCTCACTGCTTACCTGCAAAAGATCAAAGGTAAGGGAAAAGGTAAAGAGTTGGCCTTGACAAAAGGCCAAGGGAAGGGCAAGGACAAGGGCAAGAAGCCCAGGCTTGCCCTCAAGGACTTGGAGGAGGGCCAGGAGGAAAGCACTGAGCAAGCCTGGGAGAAGGTTAGCTCTAAAGCTAAAAAAGCAAGAGACCTCCTCTGTCGCAGTGCTGCTGACTTGGATGTGTCTGTCAAGAAGACAAGGCTGAGCAAAGCTTCCAAAGAGGATGCCACTCACTGCATTTGCGAGTGCAGCAGGCTGGTGGAGTCTTTGAAAGTGCTCCTTGCCAAAAGGGAGAAGGCCATGAGCTTGACCAAAGCCAAAGAGCTGCTTGTAGAGGCAGCAGAGGCAGCAAAGGCAGCCAAGGAGGAGTCCAAGGAGCTGCTTGCTGCTGCAAACAAGGCAGCCTCCAGGGCTTCAAAAGCTTCAAGTTCCAAAAAGAAGTGAAGCAAGAAGCATCCTTGCCCAAAGGATTTCGCACAGACCCTTATACAGGGGCCTCAGTGCCTTGACAAAAGGCCTAAGGCTGCTCAAGCAGCCAACTTTACCTGGCCCTTGCCTTGACCAAAGGCCCCTGAGCAGCTTAGGCTACTTTTTTCCTCCTACATGGCTGGCATGGACTTTGCTAAGTAGTTGCAGTTTAAGTTATAGGCATCCTAAACTAAACCCAAATCCTTTCAAGAACCCTGAGCCCTCAAACTAGTTTATATTTCATGCCAGCCTTGTAGCTTTAGACCTTCCCACAGAGGAAAGTGGACTTTTCGCAGAAAAAGAAACTGTGGCCAGAGTGTAGGGTTGCCTTCAGGGTTTACTTAAGGTTTGGGAGGGTAAAGTTTCAAAACAAGGCTCCAAAGCCTCAGTGCCCAGGCCTGTTACTTCAGGGTGTTTCCAATTTATAAGGGTGTACCTGCTAAGGCTTTGAGGCCCAGGGTGGTTTCAGTAGCCTTTTGACAAGGCCTTTAGGGTTGAGCCTGGGAGTATTAGGGGTAAGGGCTTGGAAGCTATGAGCTGCTCAAAGCACCTTCTCACTTTTGCAGCTGTTCCCTGGCCAAGTGTAGATGTGGGCCAGGCTAGGTTCCAAGCCATGGACTTAGAAGAGAGGGCCCCCAAGAGACTCAGGGTCTGGAAGCTGCAGCAAGAGCTAGAATCCCCCACTCCTTGTCAAAAGGAGTCGAATCCTTGTCAAAAGGAAGGCAGTGCCCTGTGTAGCAGACTTCTTGAGCTTTGGTCACAAGGGCACTTGAGTGCAAGAATGGTTTGTGAGTTGGCTCTGTTGGCCACCTTGGATGGATGCAATTCTGAGGAGCTCCACAGCTTGGCCAGGTGTGGCAATTATGGCCAACTGCTAGGCAACTGCAGCAGAGACCTCATGCAGCTCTACTGCCGCCAGGAAAGGTTGCCAAAACCTTTCCTGGTGGCAGAGAGGCTGTAGACCCCAAAACTGCTTCTACCACACAAGCAGAGGCAGCTGTCATGCTGCCACATCAGCTTTTTGCAAGCCTTGGAACTGACTATGAGCAGTTCCATGACATGTTTGCAACCAAGGACCTAGTGTCTTTCTGGCAGGGGGTCGAGAAGGTGGGTGATGACAGGTTGCTGCGCCACCCTATTGCCCTTGACAAAAGGGTACAGCAAAAGAACACCACAGTACCCTTGTATCTGCGTGGAGATGGGGTAGAATACCAGACAAGAGACAGCCTCATGTGTTGGTCATGGGGATCCATGCTCAACCAGAAAATGAGTTGGAATCCCACCTGCACCTGGCCTGCTGGCCCAAGAGTGCCACCTCCAAGACCACTTGGGATCCCATCTACAAATGCATAAAGTGGTCCTTTGAAGCCTTGTCAAAAGGCAAGCATCCTGAGACTGGCCCAGATGGAGAACCCTTGCCAAAAGGGATGGAGCCTTGGGCTGGACAGCCACTGGTACCTGGAGGGTACAGGGCTGTCATCTGGTCCATTCAGGGTGATGCTGACTTTTACAGCAACACCCTGAAGTTGCCTCACTGGAGCAGCAAAAACCCTTGCTGGGAATGCGATTGCCAAAGGCCCTTGACAAAAGGGCGAAGGTGCCCACCTGGCAATTCAGTGAAAATACTGACAGAATCCAAGCAACTGTTTGTCTTCAGGGACATCCATGCTTGTATAGCCCACCCAAAAAGTGATCATCCCATCTTCCAGGTCCCAGGAGTTTCGACCTGGATGGTGAGGCATGATGCACTTCATGTGTTGTATGGGAAGGGGGTGGGCTCCCATTTGCTAGGAAGTCTGCTTCATTTCTTATGCTACCATGAGAAGGGAAAACAAGTGGTCCCAGCAAGTCAGCGACTGTCAATAATATGGGGTGAAGTGCAGAAAGTGTACCAGGCCAGGAAGACACCAGTGAGGTTGACCAACCTGCGACTGTCAATGTTTTGTGACACAGGGGCCCCACACAAAGGCCACCCCTTCCTGGCCATTAAAGCTGCAGAGCTCAAATACTTTGCCCCTTGCTTTTTGCAAGTGCTCAAGAATATGCTCAGGGGCCTTGACCAAAGGCCAGAGCTTCAAATGGTGGAGTGCCTGCAAGCTTTCTGTAACCTGACCCAGCTTTTTGATGAGGCCCCCATGTTTCTCTCCCCCCAGGAGTATGAGACAGCAAGGGACCTTGGCGAAAGGTTCTTGACATTGTATGAAGAATTAAATGAGTGGAGTTCCCTTGACCAAAGGCGACTTTTCCACAAAGTGCACAAGCACCATAGCATGCAACACATGGTGCACTCTGCCAAAGACATGAACCCCAGACATGTCTGGAACTTCAGGGCAGAGGATTTTGTGGGGGCCATGTCCAGGCTAGCCCACAGCACTAGCTTCGGTTTAAAGTCCACTCAGGTCAGCAACAAAGTGGCACTGAAGTATAAGGTGCTCTTGCACCTGAAGCTCACCCGAGCAGGCTTTTCCATAAACAAAGAAGACCTGGGCTGAACTCCTGAGGGTTGGCAAAACCCTTGATGGGACTCCTGAGGGTTGGCAAAACCCTTGATGGGAATCTTTGGCAAAAAGATTTGCAATGCTTCACACTGTGTAGGTTTCACCATGTTTCACAAAGTGCAGCCCAGCAGGTCCAAGAATGAGATTCTGATTCAAAGTTTAAATAGGGCTCATGAGGTAAAGGGTATAGGTAAAGGAATGCCTAAATTAGTGGGTTTAATGGGTTTACATGGTCTGAATATTTGCTAGAAATATTGATTTTATTTTGATGGATATATTGATTTTAGCTTGTGATTTTGGCTTGAGAAAAGCCTACCAAATCTATTGATTACCTTATTGATTTTAGGGGTCCAAGAATCATTATGAGTCAATATGATTATGGACCATGATCAATAAGCTCTAGAGCTTATTGATTACAATCAATATGCGATGCCCAGGGTATTTGCATTTGCTCACCTAGTCGCTGAGCTCCTCATCCAGAAAAAGGTTCTCTTGCAATTCGTCCTAGTGCCGAAATATCATGGGTGTAGAAACTTCTTAAAAGCAAAACGGTCAAAAGTTAGCTGCCAAGCTACGAAGCTGACATCTTTGTTTGGCAGCAGCGTGTTTGTTCACCTTCAGGTTTATGCAGGACCAGTTCAGAGAATTTGCCCAAACCGCCTTTAACCACCCTTCAACCCCTGATTCCTAGATGCTGACGCAGCTTACAGTATCATTGTAGTCGTAAGCCCAAAATCCCAACACCCAGACTGAACCTTCAACATGGGTATATAAGGGTGCGTTTAGTCTTGTGTGTGGTCATAGCTGGACATGATGACTTCAGGATTTGAAAGCTTTGAACCTCGCATATCATGGCAAAGTAGTCATGGACCAAATAATGGTACCGTTTAAGCGCGGTGGCGTGGCAAATTGTTGAACATGGTATTGGGGGTGTTGTGAGCCTTATCCACGATCGCTAAGGCGTTATTTGTGAGTACAACGTCATCTCCTGACGGCTCGGAAACATCTTAGTCGTCCCTGTATATGAATAGTAAACCCATCCCTCCAATATGTCGCCCAATCTGAGGTCTAAACCCTAAGCTGAACCCGAACCAAAAAAGGTCCGAACAGAGTACCGCAGCTCAGGTTCGTGCCAGGTCCTATGCCAGCGTAACTCGGCTGAAATTTAGGGCTGCTATAGTCATTGTACGGTAAAGGGTTGAATGTATTCGGAACCGTGAAGGTTACATACGGGTTACACACTGATTAGAACAAAAAATGGAAACATGACATGGAGATTTGGAGTGTGGTACGTCAATGCACGCACAATGTAGTCCCCAACATAAGGTAAGATTATATCCTTCTGCGTGATCTGTAGTTTTATAAGGTGAATATAATGCTATGATCTTACATCGGTTGACCAGCAAGGAACCGCTGCTCGACTGTAGGCTGCCCTCGTTTCCGAAACCAAACGGACCCCGGAACGGGCCCTCTGTAAGCGGGGGCTCATCCACCGAGAATGAGTCTATAGGACGAGGCAGTACAGTGGTACGGCCACCAAGTCCTGGGGTCTGAACCGTAAATACCAAATCCCATCAGGTTCTATACGACTCAAATTTGAAATGCAGCCATGACTCGGGTCGCTAAGCGTAAACGCTAGATTGGGAACTAGAAGCAGCACCAGCACAAAAATCAAGTTGTGATATCGGGAAAGACATCAAACTAAATCACATCCTGCTCGACCCCCAAGACCTGCAGGGGCGAGTCCTAAAATGGAGACATCACATGTCTACCTCTCGAACCCGAGAAGGTTCTGCCGATCCCCAAACGGTAGCTATATGTAGAACTTACAGAACTTACAGAGCCAGAACATAAATAGTTTTGAAGATGAGCATATATTCATACTGTACAGTCCCCGTTAAACCCAGACTTTACCGTACCGAAGTCTCATTAATCCTATACCCGAATCTTTAACCCCAAACCCTAGATCCTAAACCCTAAACCTTAAATATCAACCCTAAATGGGCCCAGGTGGATGCTCTATACCCGACTCATCCGGGGGTTGCGAGTGTTCTTTCTCTTCGACGCTTGGGCCTTTTGGGAGTTGCGCCAAAGGTACACGGTTGGGGGAGTTTAGGGTTTAAACAAGAGGTTCAGCGCTTGTAGGTTACTAAGGCTTATAATCATAATCTAGGATTTCCAGCTGTATCAGGGCTTCAGGATCTACAGGCACTGGGGTGTAGAGCTCGAAGCTTTCTTTAGATTCTTGATCAATTGCCAATTAATTGTTCTTGCGCAGCATAGTCCACGAACTGCAGAAGTAGGATCCAATCCACGGTAGTCTTGGAAGTAGACTAGGCGTACCAGGTGCTATCTGCTACACACACTCTACAGAGAGTAGGTTGTATGGGTGTAGATTTTAGCAGTGGGGCGCCCTAAAGCTGGAAGCTTTCGCGAACAACCGCAAAGCTTTAGCTGGTTCTGTACTGCTGCAGATCA